GTACGTCACGTGACACTCCCAGAATTGGCCCGTTCACAAACTGAATGCATATAGAATCACTCGAAACAAAGCTCGATAACAAAAAACTGTTCAACGTCTCCTCCAAACTGTATAGTCTTGAATCCTGGTCTATAGCAAAGTTTTTGGCCATATTTCATCACCCGAAATGCATGTTTGCAGGATGAACGTAGGGCTTGTATATTTTGATGGACACGTTACACGGCAGACTAATTGTACGAGGAGTTTACGACACAACAAAAATCTTGCATCACGGAATAGCTCTTCCAGCTCTGATAGCCTTCGCGGCTTCGTTCTGCGCCTCGTCGCGTACCGAGCGTAGATAGGTGCATAATGTTCTAAATCCTATCACCCGAAGTCGTTAACAAGCAGGATTCGTATTCTTTGATAAACAAATAAGTGCTCACGCTAGACGTCTTCACTACACTATCCCTCTTCTCGAGGTTCCCCGCCCACTCCTTCCACCCACCACCGACTGCTTCTCTTGTGTACCCACGGTGCTCCCTTACGATGTAGTCACGAACGACCCACGGCGCCACCACAACGTCAATCATGCTGAACTGTTTCCCAAGGAAGTAGGGACCTTTCACCTTCTCGGCGATCGTCCTGAACAACTTGTTGAACTCCTCAAGGTAGGCCTTCTGCTTGTCCGGTTCCTGCGCCTGAACCAGACGGTGGAAGCCAGGAATGACATTCTTGGAGACATGATCGATCCAGAAGCGCACGTAGGCACGCTCGAACGAGTCGATTGGGAGGAGGTGAGGTGCGTGATCGGGGTACGCGTCCTTAAGAAACTCGCAAATAATCGGCGACTCTGCGAGCGGCCTGCCTTTGTACTCGATAGCAGGGACCAAGCCCTTAGGGTTTATGTCTGAGAAAGGATTACCATGAACATTGGGTGAAATGGAGGAACTTCCTGGCTAACCGAGAAAGTACTTCTCCTTCTTGTACGGATTGACCTCCCTGTATTGGTAAGGTATGTACTCTGCAGCCGTCTGTTGTGCCAAATGACCCTTCCGGCCTTTGTATCCGTCTGTTGACGTTGCCCGCCGGGTGGACGGGAATTATGCACGGGAGCTCATTATGCACGATAGCTCATCATGAAACAATCACAGGCTGGACATTACACAAGAGTCAGACCGGTCGCACTTTAGACGATGGAGGCCGTCGGCGTCAAAGCAGCGCGTACCGTGGGCGCCTTTCAACCACTATACTGAGCTACTAGGCTC